CTACTAGTAATATAGACCATTAACAAAATAATGAGACACTTAGACGCAGTTAAAAGACAAGGACTTTCAAGTCCTGTGGTCTTGATTTTTCTGACATATTCGTTAGAAAATGAGCCTCAAAACTTCAAAAAAGCAATTTCACTCCTAAAACACATTTTTTAAAAGAAATTATAAATAATAAAATTACAAAATCACACTTGAGAGTTGGTAAATATTCCTTCAGAAAGTAAACAATTAGGGGGTAAATAGAATTTTAAAAAGAAAATAAAAATTGATGAATCAACTAATAAATACACGACTAGACTTGTAGCTAAAGTTATAGACAAAAAGAAGATCTTGATTATTTTGATATATATTCTCTTGTCATGAGAATAACATTCATTTGTATGCTCATAGTTATTGCAACATTGTATAATCTTGAGATACACTAAATGAATGTAAAAATGTTTTTACTAAATTGTGACTTAAATGAGAAAATTTATATGGAGCAACCCGAAATGTTCATTTATCTGGAGCAAAAAAAGAATGTGTGCAAGCTTATTAAATTAGTTTATAGTTTAAAGTAAGCACCAAAGCAATAGTATAAGAAATTTGACAAAGTCATGATGTCAAATGAATTCACAATCAATGAATGTGATAAATGTGTCTATGTCAAAAATACAAATAACGAATATTTCATTGTTTGTTTGTATGTGAATGATACGCTTATTTTAGGTAGTAACAATGATATCATTACAACTAACAAGAAAATATTGTCCATTAAGTTTGACATAAAAGATTTAGGTGTTGCAAATGTTATACTACGAATTAAAATTTTTAAAACATTTGGTGGACTTATACTATCTCAATCATATTATATTTAGAAAATACTTGAGAGATTCGACAAAAATGAAATAAATATTGCTAGAACATCAATTGATATAAAACTTTATTTGTCTAAATATACTGGTCAAAGCATATCACAATTAGAATATTCTCGTTTTATTGGCCGTCTAATGTATGTCATGAACTACATTAAACTAGATATAACATACTCAATAGTAAATTGAGAAGATATACGAGTAATCTGAGAGTAGATCATTAGAAGACAATTATCAGGCTTTTTAGATACTTAAGATATACCTTGAATTTTGGATTGTACTATACAATATATCCAGTTGTACTTGAAGGATATAGTAATCCTAACTGAATATCTGGAATAAATGATATAAAGTTCACAAGTGATTATATGTTTACACTTGGTGGTGCAACTATATCTTGAAAATCCTCTAAGTAAACGTGTATTGTCAGATCCACGATGAAATTTGAATTTATTGTTTTAGATAAAGTAGGAGAGGAAGTTGAATGACTTCACTAATTTTTAGAGAATATTCGAATATGGCCTAAATTTGTGCCCGTAATTAATATACATTATGATAGTCAATCTGCAATTGGTGGGACACAAAATGATATGTATAATGGTAAGTCTAAACATATATGTTGTACACATAATATCGTTAAACAATTTCTCTCAAATATGATTATTTATATTGATTATATAAAATCAAAAGAAAATCTAGAGTATCCACTTACTAAAGATTTGACGAAAGAGTAAGTAAATTGCACATCAAGGGAAATGGGGCTAAAGTCTTTGACTTAAGAGTCACCTTAATGACAACTCAACCTAATTGACTAGAGATCCCAAAATCTAAGTTCGAAGGGACAACCGAATTATGTATGATTCAAAAGAAGCATTAAGAAGATAATTTCTCCTACTCATTCCTATGATACACTTGTGTTGCCTGTAGAATTTATTAAGGTAAGTTATGATTTTAATAACTTTTATACATTTAAAATTCAAGTGGGATATTGTATGATATTCTTAATATGAGTCATCTATATGTGTGTGAGTGGCCGCTTCAGTGAGAATTTATAAATGCTAAATTCTCTAAACCACTCATGAAAATTAGGAGTTGTTCAAGGTCAAAATAAACACAATCATGAGAATCAATTATGTTAAAAAAGAGACGGTGTGAAATCTATTCGATTTGATTTGTCAAACAACTGAATAATTCAAGTCATCACATTCACAATTTAGTCGATAAATCTAATGGGCTTTCACTGGGAAAGGTTCAAGGTCAACAACTACCTATCAAGATGCACAATATTTTCAAGATGTACTCTCCATAGTGTGTCGATATTATCATTTTGATGCTAACCGCCAATTTTTCATTAATGTGGAGGATTGTTGCACTAAAATAGTTTTTTAGTTATAAAAATTAAAATTTTGGTCGACTTTGAGCTTAAATTAAAGTGAAACTCGTTTTTCGTTTTAAGTAAACTTTTGTGGATTCAAGTTTTATTTCATGAGAAGAATAATGTAGTATAGTCACTTGTTCAAATCAAATAAGAAATGAATAAACAAATATACTCAAAAGTGACTCATTTGGATTTGTAAAAATAAAGGTTATGCAGTGTAGGATTTGACGTCAATTTTACATTGGTTGAGGAAGAAATTTTACTTATGCATATATATGCCAAGTTTGCTCTAAAAATTGGGCTCCAATGAATACTATATTTTTGTTGGCGAAGCAACAACCTACATGGGCTTTGGTTGGACCACCTACCCGCTCGGTATGACCACGACCCCACCCGACCTAATTGGGGACAAATTCGACTGTGGATATGATTTAAACTCAACCTTATCTTTTTGGAGCAAATTCATTTAACGAATTGGGCTCAAATTTCGTAAGTTGGAATTTAATTTCTGGTACCCGTTGGAATTCAAATTTCGCACATGTTCAGATTTTAATTTTTCCTCCAATTTGGAATTCAAATTCTTGTCTGTTCAATATTAGTTAGACTTAAATGGTGTCTTCTGATTACATGGTGTCTACAAGGTTGCATTTGTTCGCATGGTAATAGCCCGAATCAGTCACGATTCTAGCTATAAATAACTCAGTTACATTAACATTCTGCATTAACTTCAGATTAACTATATTACAAATTAAGACAATCATTACATCCATATTTTTGGCATTAACAGTTTTCATATCTGAGAGTACACAACACAATTTTTAGTTCGTTTGGCAATTAAATTAGAATGCTACTTCTAATTGCGTGAAAATTATTATATCTTGGGAAGCAGACACTTTGATTTTTATAAATACTAAGTGTGAGAGCAAAATCTGTATTAAGGACAGCGTCAAACACTAACCTTAATTTACATAAAGATCAATTATAGTTCATGTTCAGGAGTTACTTATATTTATTGTTTTATATGTATTACTGTTTCATTCTTGGTTGTACTATTTTATTCTAAATTGTATGATACAAATCAAATACTTTAATAAGTAATTTTTTTTATATTTGAGAAAATACAAACAAGAGAAACCTCCCTCGACACTTGCTAACCCCCATTTCTGACTGCAAGGTCATCTCAAACTGCAAATCTACCATTTCATGTTATGTATAAAGCATATGGCTTAGTGGGCAGATCATCAAAATTCCCTTTAGAGCCAAAAGTAGATCTCTTTGTCCTGGCATTTGCCACTACGACCAAATTATGTTTTAACTTTGTAATTTTTTTTTAATAAAAAAGGGAACAATTTTATTGATATGAAAATAGAATGGACAATTAGTTCAACCAAGGAACGAAAGATCAAAAACTAAATAAATAATACATCATAACTACGAAAGGCATGAAGCACTCTAATCAGCCAAAATAAAGAGAGCGCGATGATATTCAAATACTTTGATGTTGAAGCCCCATAACAAAGCTAAAAAAGTAGATCCAACCTCATAAACCTTCCTTCTACTCATTTTTTTTCGCAGATGTTGTAGAATTTACCCAATTCAAACCAAAAATTGCACAATTCCACAGGGCCACCCTTTTAATGCGTTCCAAACCCCTCAAATTCTTCTTCATACAATGAGAAAAAAAGTCTACGGAATCACCCAACTCAAACCTATCAATTGAAATAATTGGACCACAAAAACAATGGAATAGGACAATGCAGGAAAAGATTATCAATACTCTCACTAGCACAGGTACACATCACACACCATTATGGAGAAATGCAAAGAAAATGTGTTCTTCTAAAGCATACCTCACCATGATTTATAATCCATGCATAAACTTACATCTTAGTATTTACTTTTCCCATGCATATCATCACTGGTGGAGGAAACAAACGAACACGGGGATCATCAATTAACTTATCAACAAATATGTGGGAGAAAAAACTCTCCTTATTTTATCAATTTACTCTTGGCACAAACCAACTTCATGAAGCAAGAAGTGATACCAATTTCGTAGTATCAAGATATCTATAGAAACCAAAATTCCAAAAACAGATTGATGAGAAGAATAATACATCAAAGCAACAGAATGTAGCATATTGTGCATGAAAAATCTTTAAGAAATAAAATTCTATGGGCATCAATAAGTGAACTTTATTCGAGTGGAAGTCTCCAAAGTCACTTTCCAATTAAAATTATATTCTTTGCTTTTAAATTCCCAACTGAAAGACCTCTTTATCTCTATTTTCTTGAATTTTTGGTTATTAGATGCCCTACCATTGCAACTCCGCCGTGCCTTGGCATATATGGAAACAACCCTACAACCTGACACATGCCATGGGTTCTCAAACAGACCAAATAAAACTTGCCCGTAAAGCATCCAAGATTCAGTTCAATAGGTTAGCAGTAATAGAACTCCAAAAATAAACCAGAAATCACCTCAACAGTAACAGTTCATGAGAAATATCTGACGCAAAACACAAATAGATCCTTCAAATTCCTTGAAATAGTTAAAAATGGAAATATTAAAGCTCCAAAATTATTAAATCCATGATGATCAGTAGCAACACCAATGATCAAGAACTAAGAAACAAAATCCCGTAATAAGGTCAGGGAACAATGTTTGGAGCAATTGCTCCGCGATGAATCCTCATACTAAATTCAGAAAATATTATCATCACCATCTAAAGCTTAAAAAAGTAGGGGAAAAAGACTCCCAATTAGCCCCCACCAGAACCATACTTCTTTCCAAACACAATCATCTGGAGCTTGTCATAACCTGCAAGCACACCAGCACCGGCGACTGCACGAAGGATGTTTGCACCAGCACCCTTGAAAAGAGATTTGGCACCCTCATTCTTGAGGATTTGGGAGAATGCATCGAGCGAACTCTTGTACTTCACAGCTTCACCAGACGTCATCATCATTCTTCTACGTACAGTGTCGATTGGGTAGGAGGCAAGGCCAGCACCATTTGTGATAACCCAACCAAGAGCAAAGCTAGCAAAGAAACTATCCTGAAATCATTCCACACATAATATAAGCATGTGTCAATTATGGAAGCACATTTCCCGTTACGTGCAGAAAATCCAATGAAACCAAAGTGGAAGGCTGCATTCAAGATTTGAGAGTTGATAGTATATGCATGATCAAAAAAATGCCACTGGTTCATAAATCATATCCAACAGGTTAAACATATCCAAATCTTCTCTTTGCATCAATGCTGACCGACCATCGAATATTATTTGTCAACAATTAGGATTGGTACTATTCTATTATCAAAATATGTCAACAACCATGTAAAAAGCACAGGAAAAAGAACATATAAGACAAAGAACACCAGCCGAGAAAATTACTAACCGCCAACTTTCCAGTCAGGAGCACAGGCTTCAGGGAATCATACATTCCGAAGTATAAACCACGATACACAATGATGCCGACACATGAAATGTTGAATCCACGGTAAAGACCAGCAATACCATCAGATTGGAGGGTCTTCTTGTAGACATCAATCAAACCATTGAACTGCCTCTCTCCTCCTTTCTTTGCAGCCTTGGCATCATTTGCCAGACGGGTTCGAGCATAATCCAGGGAGTAGACAAAGAGTAAAGACGAGGCACCAGCAGCACCACCAGATCCCAGGTTGCCAGCAAACCATTTCCAATAGCCATCACGGTCCTTCTTGAAATTGAACAACCTCTTAAAGTAATCCTTGAATGCAAAGTTCAAAGCCTGTGGAAGAAACCAGTCAAAAAAGTATGCAGCAAATGGAAAGCAAAAGTCAATATATATTCATACCTTCATGAAGTCCTAACTCCTAAAGAAGATAGGGTTCAACAAACCTGAGTGGGGAAATAGCGGATGACGTTAGCTGTGTTGCCTCTCCACAATGATCCAAAACCTTCTTCCCGAACTGTTCGCTTGAAACATTCACCAATACCCTTATAGGGTTCAGAAAGGCGACCCGACTTAATCATCTCATCTTGGTTTTGGATCAAAAGCTTCACCCGCTCAATTGGAGCAGCAGCAGTTTTGGACACAGCAGCTGAAACTCCACCCATGAGAAAATCAATGGCAAAGCCTGCAAAACCTTTCTCTGATGGAGCCTGGACAAACACAGGTGAGGCATTTGTGGCTATCAATGACAGATCATTGGTGGCCTGGCATGTTTGTGTCGCGGAATACTGAAATCCTGCATTCGAATAGTTGCCATAAGCAAAACGTCTCTGGTAAATGGCAGGCCTCTGCAATCCCCCGTAGCGAGCTTGAACATCTTGGGAAAGGCTGGAGCTTAGATACAATTGATTAGCTACCTTCTGAGCAACAGTTGGGTACTGGTGGTGATCAGCCATTATGTTTTGCAACAGAACCCCTGCAGATGCGGGGAAACAGTACTAGTAAGAAATTTGGAATACGTTATCAGGATTCAGACAATTTCTGAACCAGAATGACAGATATATTACAAGCAACACAAATAATCTAAAACATTTGGACACTTGCAAAGGACTAAGCATTATGACCAGACACAAGTAAATGTACAAGACAAGATAAAGCAACTCAAATATTTTAACATGGACACCAAACTTATAACATTAGAGCACTCGACAAAAGAAGTATTATGACCAAACACGAAGAAAAAATAGTAACATACTAACATATGAAGATTTCAAGGAGCAGACAAGTTTACAACTATCCAACAATGACGAAACCCGTCAATTCATCTAATTGAGAAAGAAACTGAAAACAGAATAAAGTCCTAAAGCAGGGAATGAGAACAATTGACGAAGAAAGGGGGAAGTCTAGTAGGTATCACTGTTACATAACAAATGGAACATAACACATACAAGGCCTCAAAATAAAGAAACAATTCAATACCAATAGTAATGGGTAGAGCTCAAGAAAAAGCTTAGTTAGTAAGCTAGGATTCAACAAACTGATGTGAAAAAAAATCAAGGAATAAGACTGCAGGTCCTGAGTGCTGGGAGATCTTCACGCATTCTATAGTTAGTGTTATTACATTCATATACGCAATGAATCTATACTCATTCGCACTGTGAATATTACATTCAATCTAAATACTGACTTTTTTAAACATTGGATAACCTCCCATCCCACCGGCACCATACTAGTGGGGACCTCTAAACAGATTTCTCTATTTTGCAGGTCAAGACCAGGCAAACATCCATGTTTTACTGGGCGAGGAATCTACATTCCCTTTACCATTTTTCATCTTGCAAAAGCAGCTGGGTCACAGCCCAACATCTGCGGTTGTAGTACCTTTTCCCGTATACAATTCCAAGGACCACTAAAATGATACCCTGCCTACAATCTGAAATGATAATCAGCCTATTAAAAACAAAGCATAACAAGTTACATAAGTCGAAGTACAAGAACTGTCAAATCCAAGTTTAGCAGACCTTACCAAAATTTTACAAAATGAGTTCACTTCGTACAACTGTAATCACTCAAAAAAAAGCTTCTGGTGTTTGGGTTTTGCAATACCTTTTCCTTTTATTATTAATTAAATTGTTGTTGCTTATAGAAAAAAAAGAGCTTTTGGCTATCCAGTCAGTTTTAATGAAATGACCAACATTATCCCTTAATTGCATTCAAGCCTGCTAGATGTTTTTTCGTCTAGGACAAAATCAAATATTGGGAAATAACTCTTTACCAAAAAAAAAAGAAGAGAGCATATCAAAAAATCTCAGAAGGGTATTGTTATCATTTTATCCTTTCTAATTTTAATAGCTAAAAACTGGTAAAATTAAAGAGAGAGCAAAATTTCACAGCATCAAAACTTGGAGTTAATATAAAAACCAAGCTATACTTTGTGATCTTAAAAGCTAAAGACTGGTAGAAACTCTATGGAAAGCAAAACTTCGAGAGCCAAAACTGCAAATGCATACAAAACCAACGTATGTATATATCACCTAAGCAAAAAAAATTAAGACACAAAATGCAACAACATACGAAGGATTGAGTAATTATGTAAAGAATGAAGCATCATTTCAAATACATCCAGATCTATTTCAAATAACAGAATTCCAAACATCTTAAATCAACCCAAGATTCAAGCCAACGTACAGATACAGAAAATCGAACAAATAAATCGCCGTCCATATATTACCGATGTGTATATAAAGTAGTAGATCAAAACCAACACAACATCTCTTAGATTCAGCAAAACATAAAAAGATAACAGTGGGCGGGGACACACACAGAGAAGAGACAGATCTATAGGGAACGAACCCGCTGAAAACTACAGTAAGTGAAATTTGCACACAGATCTACAAATGAAGAGAGAAAATGAAGAATACAGGAGATCCGAGGACCTAGAAATGGCTTATATATTTAACGACAGCGACAATTATGGACCAAAAACGTTGTTTGGACATAAAATCATTTGAGAGAGAAAGTTGGTTTTGGAGAGAGAAAGATGAAGAGAATGAAAAAAACCTGCGTCCCAGTAGCCTTCGAAGTCGCACAACAGAATGGAGGAGAGAAGAACTAGGGGTTTATAAAGACGAGAGAGAGAGAGAGAGGGGGGGGTTGGAACAGCCAATTGGAGTTTGGGGCTGACTATAGCTGACCAACGGAGATATTTCGTATGTATAATTAATTACACACACCGTCTATAGTTTATGTCGATTTCATGAGATACTCTTTTAATTGTTGAAATTATAATGTTACCAACGATAAAATTGTTTTGTTATGATATAGGGATATGATTTGAATAGGTACCTGCGGGAGATACTCTAATGCACTTTTGTCAATTTGGTATAGATCTAGGCTAGCATGCATTAAAGTTGATGGCAGAAAATGATATAAGTGGAAGATTTCATAGTCAGACTCAACTCAACACATGGATTTATGTTGGTAAGTATGGCATAGGTACCTGCCTGATTCCTAGGGTGACTTGTTGTCTTAAAATCCTATGAGTCAATGTAGAAAGTGACGGGACTTTTCTGAAATACTCTAAGATGAAGACACGTGTCTTTGACGTCCTAAAAATCCTGATAACTGAGATCACGCTCCCTCGGCTTACAACTCCCCTCGCCCCCGAGGTACTGACACGTGTCGTGTGCGTTTCGCGAACCGACGCGTATCCATCGGTTTGGTATGGTACCTCGTCATCATGTACGGCTTCCCTCGGCTCGAGATGTACCTTTCTTCGGTACCGAGATGTGCATGTCCTCGGTACCGAGATGTACCCGTCTAAGATGCCTTTTTCTCTGCTCCAGCATAAGCTATTGATGTACAGGTCATTAGCCTAGACTAGCCTAGGTTAGCTATCATGGTCTCGTCTTACACAATTGGTGTCAGAAGGAACAGGAAGGCAGGGTCCACAGCCAATAAGGGATGGACGCGTGGTAAATTGTGTCACATCAGAGACAGAAAGACTGCATGCCCTTACTGACACGCGACTTGGGAAAGCAAACATTTAATTACATCATTCCCTTGATGAGACCGAATTCAATGCGGTAAGGCTCGGAATTGAAAGACAATAAATGTCTCTGAGGCTAGGCATTTATTGCATTCTCCCCGAGCGGAGATCATTAGACAATCGGCAGCCCGATGACACAACATTGATTGCTCGGCGCCCCGAGCAGTTAAAGAAAGGAAGACATTCCTCATCAGAATCAGTGCGCACACTGTCTGTACCTAATGATCATCTACTGACAACACTGACAGCAATCATGAGCTTTTGAGGTATAAATACCCCTCATAAAAGGCAAAATGGTATGCAACAAAAAACTCTTTACTACGAAATATACTCAGTGCTTTCTTCTTCCTCTCCTTTTCAAAAACTAACTTGATCGTCGGAGGGGATACGCCGAAAAATACTCCGACGCCCTTTTAACTTGTTCTCCTTTGTTGTAGGAACCTTTCCCCAGCCTTACTGGATCATTCCTTCAATTCACGAGGGTCTCCCGTTGCCGTTCCAGATTATCACCGGATCTCACAAGCTGTCCCAAGTAGCGTGGTTGACCACTCAGCTGACTCACTCAGAGTTCACCAAGGGAGAGATCTGTTCTCGTTTTTTATATTGTGCAAGATCCAGCACGCACAGAAAGCCTGTTTAAACTAGCTCACGGTGTGTTCAAATACACTATACAATAACTATGAGCATGGGATTTCAGAAGTTTCATTTGAATGGCATATTTCTCACCATTGATAAATCCTCTTCATGGGTTCATATCTGTCTAGGATATCCTCATTAGAGTCACATTTCCCATAACACCACTAATCGCAGGGAACTCTAAAGAGATGACGGTGTGAGTAACACATAAATATTCTTTTTTTTTGTTTGAACAGAATGAGTGTTATACTTTAAAGACATAAAAGTGTAGTACTTTGGAGAATTATGTGCAACCAATTTTTCCTCTATTTCAAATAAATGCCCCTAGATTAGCGTCACCTTGCCTTTTCCATCCAATTTTTTTATGACAATTACGAATTCAGGCCATGAAACGCAATTGCCATACTTTACCAATGAAGTTTATAATATGTAAAGATTACATGCCAAAATGAAATTTGGGTGATACTTTATCGGTACAAAGTATCATTAAACATATGCTGGGGAGTTTTCTTTTGAGGGGGATGGAAAAAGTTCCCAGTGCCTCTGATATTCCTTGGAAATTTCTATTTTCCCAACAAAATGGAATCCTCTTTTCTTGGTGTAAACACTGTGACACCACATTATCCCTGTTAGGAAATATTATTTTTAACAATAAACTTACTGGCTAGTATAGTGAATCTCACTTTTCTACATGTAATAGTTATTATTTCTTTTTCTTTTTTTAACCCAAGAATTTTTCATCAACTGAACTCATTTAGATTTGTGGCCGAGAGTCAATCTAGGCCTACGAGCAAAGTTTCCTCTCCAAGCACGGGGGCTAAACCTATGAGAAATAATCCAAAGAAGTATTTTCAACATATACAGTATCGAATTTTAAATTAATGTCAACTTAAAACATCTATCAAGTGACAGACTACCACTTAAGTATAGATAGGTAGTAAAACATGTTGGGTTCACTTACTTACATTTTTAGTTTAGTATTAGACAATAATATTATATGACCGTGATGATTTGGTATCACAATTATATTATTTTTTTTTTTTGTGTGTGTGGGATTGATATGGGATGAAATCTTTTTCTTGGTTCTAAGCTTTGACGGATAATTAGATTGTCTAAACTTTTCAACGTCTAGGACTTTTAAGCTTTAGCCGACCAATTCATTTCTGAGTGGGCCATTATTCAACATTTAAATACTATCTTGGACCTTTTAAAATGAACAAATCTTATGCTAATTATTTAGATTCAATTGCAATTCTATACGATTAAAGAGTATATAAAATAAAATACAAAAGGATGGGAATATTTATATATTATACTACTAATAAAAGTACCTTAATATGAAAAAATTTTGATTCACTATTTTATCCTCATAAATAATAAAAAAGGTCATTATATTCTTCCAAACTTAATATCTAAATTACCATCATATCCTTGTGCATTTGAATCTCTAAATTACATCTAAGCTCACTTTTACTTATATATTCCCTATATATAAATTTCAATTTTTATTAAACTTTTTGATTGATTATATTACTCTTAAAAAATATATGCGTCATTATAAGTTTTAATAAATATTCAAAAAAATCTTAAAAAATTCCATTATATAATATTACTCACCTCATTTATAAGATCAAATTATGACTACATATTTATATTTTATTTTTCATCAAAATGTTTAACCTTTTTATTTTTAAGATAAAAAATAATGTAGATATAGTTTTACATAATTTTTTTGTCGCAGTAAACTTTCAGACTTTGTTAAGATTTTATGTGAAAACTCGATATTTTTTTTAAAAAAAATAATTAATATGCTTTATAATATATATTATAACATTGTATATTAAATTTGATTCCAATTAACCTAGATAATCCTAAATACAGTAAGATTCCAATATAATTGAAATATTGATAATTATTTTTATTTTATTCAATGATTTATGAGTAGAATTTAATTAAATTAATTTTCTAATTATCTATTCTCTATTTATAAATGTCAATTTTTATGAAACTTTTTGATTGATATATTATTCTTAAAAAATTTATGCATTATTTTACATTTTAACAAAATTTCAAAAAATCTTCAAAAACTCCATCAATGTAATAATATTCATTGTCATTTATAAAGATAATATTATGACTACATATGTATATTTTATTTTTCATCAAAATGTTTAACTATTTTATTTTTAAAATAAAAAATAATTTATATATAGTTTTATATAATTTTTTAGTCGCAGTAAATTTTTTAAACATTATTAACATTTTATGTGAAAACCTAAATTTTAATAATATATATTATGACGTTTTATATTAAATTTTATCTCAATTGATCTAACTAATCCTAAATACAGTAAGTTCCAAAACAATTGGTATATTGCTAATTATTTTTATTTTATTCAATGATTTATAAGTGAAATCTTAATCAAATTAATTTTAAAAAATTTAATTTTCAAACATCACTGAAAAGTCACTTTCAATTACAAAATTATAAAAACAAAATAGAACTTTAACTATTTCTTTTTTTTTTTTATTATTTTTCTTAAAGTTAAAACAATAACTCTTGAAAATATACAAAATTTTTAAAATTTTTATAGTGGAGCATGAGAAATGAAAAAATAAATTTGATAAATTATTAGTATATATATATATATATTTGCTTAAATTGCAAGAAATCGTATCCCTCTTCATTCTCTTATTTCACATCAATTACGATCCTTTCCATTTTCAAAATTTCCACCAATATTAAACCAATCTTTCTCATTGGTGCACCAGTTGGCCTTCGTGGGATCTACTTCTCCTGTCTTGCATTAAATTCATTTCTTTTAAATTTATCTCCAATTGGTCATACTCCTAAAATCTCGATAACAAATTATCTTCAATTCATCTCTTATTATGTGTTCGTCTTAGTATTTATTCGTTATAATTTGTCTTAAAATTCTAATGCTGTTGAGACCCTATTAATATTTTGACTATTTATATATATTATTTTTAATTATTATAACTTAATTTTTTATTTAATTTTTTTTTTTTTACATACAAAATATTAATCAAGTTTTTATATTTAAATTTTAATAATAAAATTTTCTCAATAGATAATATAGTTACTTCATTTAATCTTAATTGATTATAAATAAGACATTATCAATTAAGTTTTGAACAAGCAATTTAATGGAGCCTCTAAAATTTGGACTTATAGAGTAATTTTAGACTAACAAAATTAGATATTGATTTAAATTCTTAAAATTTAGGTCATATTTAAAAAAAAAAAACCTATTATACTAAAAAAAAAATATAAAAATTGGGAGCCTTAGACAAGCACCTTAGGTGCTGTTTAATGAGTGGGATTGGGGGAGACTTTGGAAGATGGGTTAGAAATAAATAGTCCAAATGACAAACAAAACTCGTGTTTGGCCAAAAATTTAAAACTTGGATTACCAAGTCAAGCCTTTTATTGGCCCGGACCCTAAACCCTAAATCATCGGTTACATCAAACCCATGGGGGTAGGTTTTGGATGATGGTTAACGAATTCAAAATACAAAAAAAAAAATAATTATACCCCATATGCATAAAAACATGAGTTTAAATTAGATTGATGAAAAGGCAAAATAATCATTTATATATAAATATATTATCATAATAGTAATATACCCGTATACGTACTAAACATGAATATGAACTGAATTTTATGTTAAATCTCATGTTTGTAAAAGAGGGTCTAAATTTGAAAGAATTTGAGAAAGTCAATTCAAACCCTTCTAAAAATTCATCCAAACAAACCTTAGTTACATATGCCTAGGTCCGGTCCTTCCCTTCCCCACACACACACACATAAAGTAAATATTCTCTCTTTCACTCTATCATAAAATTTCATAGAATGCTTTTTAAAGTCGAACTTTCTGAGAAAAAGACAAGGTGCTACAAAGAATTTTACAAGGCTTCGGGAGTCTCCGAAAGGGCTGCTAGGAAGAACTTTCTAAAGCTTCAAGAAGCTCTGCCAAACGCTAATGTACACACGATTGTTTAACCAACACAAAATATATAGAAAACAATTGCGGAATTACAGAAAAAATATTACGTTTAATTAAGTATTTTGATTTATATTATTTGTAACCATTATTGGCAAAAATCTTGAAATAAGATTTATTAGCCAAAAACAAGAATTTCTTTTTTTTTTTTTTGGTCTATGAAGAGACAAAGATACATCAAACAACACAAAAAGAAAAGAAAAACAACAAACAACCAAAATAAACTAGGGTTAATTATAAATTATACCTTAAAGATAGAAATTTGAATTAATGTGCACCCTTAAAAATAAAAAATCTCAATTTGTACCATCAAAGATAAAAATTTGTATTAATATGCACCTAAAACTAAATTGATAAATTATGCCTAGATCTCTTTATGCTTGTCACTTAATCATTTAGACCCCTTCACATTTAGAATATTACTCCTACATCTCATGACGTTTGTACATTTGTAATACGTAACCCCTTTTCATTGATATCTGTTAATATAACTGTTAAAAAATATGATTTTATCCTAATAAAAAATTATAATTTTATATTACCCTTTATTTTATGGGTCCAATATACTCTAAAGTTTAAAATCAAGCTTACCATTTAAATATCTAATAGAATAAAGGATTGCACATTGAGGGATATATTGCATTGGATATAAAAAATATTATATAAATATCTACATTTTAATGGACATTCAAATGGTAAGCTTGATTTTGAATTTTAGAGTATATCGAACCCACAAAATAAATGGTGATTTTAACGGTTATATTAACATATTAACGAAAAGGGATTATGTGTTATACGTGCACAAATACCATGAAATGTAGGAGTAATATTCTAAATGTGAAGGTATCCAAATGATTAAGTGACAAACATGAGGGGATATAGGTATAATTTATCAATTTAATTTTAAGTACACATTGATACAAATTTCTGTATTTGTGCAAATTGAGATTTTTTATCTTTGGGGTGCACATTGATACAAATTTCTATCTTAGAGGGTACAAATTAATATTTTTGATCTTTGAAGGTCTAAATTAAAATTTGAACTATCTTTTAGGGTACAACTTGCAATTAACCCAATAAACTAAGACACAAATTAGTTTTTAGCCGATACCCTATCTTGCCTCCTTTTGTACTAGTCTCCTTGGTTGCTCTGGAGGGTTAACCACCTAGTGAGGGGATAAGTTGCTCCTTAGCCTGAGTTGCAACCAGATGAGCTAACTGGTTAGCTTCTCGGTTCACAACTTGCAACTTGATTGAATGAATTTTACTAGAATAAAACCAAATATCCCTTTGAATTGGTTCAATCTCTCTTAACAACGAAGCTGACCCTCGTTGGATAGCTTCAAAAAGGTTATAATAGCAGAAAATAGTATTTTTAGAATCACAGTGTTTTCAATTTGAAGTCTTTTGTAAAGAAGATTATGATACCCAAAAAAAATTGATATCGTACCATAATATATAAGTTTTGTGATTTTTTATAAATTTTGAGGGTTACTTATAACTTTAGGGGTCATTTTCAAATTTTATGATCATTTATAATTTTTAGGGGTCATTTACAAAATTTGTGAGTTATTTACAACGTTTAAGTAGGTTTGTCAATTGTGTTGGATAAGACAAATTCATGTCTAATGAATCGCATCACATCAAATTCATGTCATATATGAATCGTGTGTAATTTATATATAAACGAATCGTATCGTGTAATTTTTTGATAGACTTCACTCATATCCGATTCATTTATTAATCGTATATTCGTGTTGTGTTATGTCGGATTCACTCTTTAGGAAACAAATAGTTTAAAGAAAAATTCAAATTCACTAATTCCGTGTCTTATTAACGAATCGTGTCATATTTTGACACATTTACGTTTAGGGGTACTTGGGATCAATCCTATGACCTAAAAAAGTTGTAACTTGCAGACTCAAAAAATTATAATTTTTTTTTCTTATAAAGCAAACACAAAAGCTTGTATCTCAATTCACAAAATCTATAAAACTTGATAGTACCATACTTAAAAAAAATGTAATAGCGTAGTCTTCTCCTACTTTTGAGTTGAGCACTGTGTATGGTAACACCTTGACGGCCGGTCAAACATGGCTTGTATAGGTCATATTGTCGAGTTAAGTTTCATAGTTTGACACGATGCTTTACTCGTATGTTTACTGCCAAATTAAGTTTCAATGCTTCTGGCCACGAAGTCAACAAAAATTTAAGGGGTTTGAATCGGAGATTTCGATACAATTATTTACAAGAAATTTTTTTGATTGGCTCATTTAAAAAACGAATTGGATTAGAATTTTAGAATTTTAATTCAAATTGGACCCACAAACCTGAGAACTTGTAATATGATCTGTTTGACTTAATTGTGGTGTAACTTACAATTACCATAGATCGAAACGTACACACATGATTCGAACACGACCCATATTTTAAATTTAACACGTGTCATGTTGAAGATGTGTTTAAACATAATCCGTGAAATAGGTCATGTAAGGGTTGACTAAACAGAAACCCGAACAACATAAACTGACAGCTTTAATTGGCATCCCAACATATATAGAGTGGTCATTAGCTAGTGTCACACCTGTTAATCCAGACACATGAACACAAGAATTTTATTGCAGGAGAGATCAGTGTAGATTGTTTCAAACAACAAAAACATCATCCAGCCAAAACACACCCTTCAGTATCAATGATTTAATACTTGGCAAACGTTCTCATTTTCAAAAGATTGTCTAATGCACAAAGCTCACTATCGAGTGCAAGAAGAATCAAATATACGCAACCTTATTTCCGCATACAGAGAAGTTATTTGTGTGATAAAGTTGTTTCCGTTATCTCATTGTCTTACATCAGAGCAAAATTGCCAAGGCTACCCAAACGCTTTTAAATGCTGAGGTTGGCATTCTCTATACTCCAATGTTTTTTGCACCATAACATGATATGACGCCACCTATTTGTGGTGGCAAATCCTAGATGTGGGAAACTATTGTAAATAAGGGTTTATGACAGGATGCCTCCTACATGATTTTCACAACAGCAGAAAATGAACAGTATCAATCCAAAGACAAGTATACTGAACTTGCAACTTTTCCTCATAATTCAGTCAGGCCATCGCTTCTTTTGACAACCAATGACAGCCTTTCATTAGTATTATATGGCTGTAGCTAACTTTAAGTCATCCAGCCAAAAGCAACATCAATTCTTATGCTCCAACAGTCGACTTCATACTCCTTTGGTCAAGGAGATGTCTGAACGATATAGATAATGCAGAAGGCTTCAGCACTAGAAGTTCCATCCCTTTTCCCAGTGATTCCTCTGGATTTCTGCTCTACCCCTCAGCTCTATCGTAAGGAACAGCCTTCCAACATACAGCATATTGATACATCAAACCACGTATATTAATATTCTATACAGTTAAAATTCACTGATCTAAAGTTCCGTGCTAAAGTTATTTGGATGCTTCTACATTTATGCATGAAAATGTAATCAAACAGTTTTTGAATGGCAATTAGCAGTATTGAAAGCGATTCTGGCATCAAACTTCCATTTTTAAATAAGCTTATCGCGATCAAACAACATAACATGAGGTAACGCTCAATCATGAATCACTGCATATCTAATAGACCATATCAGCTTTGAAAAAACATATAAATGTGGCAACTACAGAAAATCAGGGGTAGAAGTAAAGCTGCCCTCTGCATAATCATGATGTTATAAAGAAACAGAGTTCAAGGCTTCCAAGAAAGAGGCAAATATGCTAGACTTCTCAAATCTCCTCATAATTTCAATTAGCCATCCCTGTCTGTAAACAACCGAAGTACTCTCAGACGATTGCATTTAGCAGTAAGCATTATTCATCACCTCAAAAATGTCCAGATTATTCTACCTCTCAACATTCAAATAGATCATGAAGGGACAAAATTTTCGAAACAACTAAGTGACCAATATTTCAATGATGCAAACAACTGCCTGAAGAAGGTCATCAATAATTCAAAACTACTCAAAGGGGTCACTAGTGGTTTCCAAAACATCAGCTAGCATGGTCGGGAGAATGATAACATTCAGGGAAAATAATGAAAAGTTTTATTTCAAAAAAGATGCTACTTACTCAACTTTACAATAAAAAGTTCAGCAGCAACACAGGACACATTTAAGAGATTCTACAGAAAATCTAAAACAAAAAAAAGTGATTACAATGTTAATGTACCTCTTACACTGAAAGACTCTTAGAAATTTTAAGATAAGAGTAAATTGGCACGATGTTGTACTTGATACCAGAAGTAAATTGCAGACCCCTTTTGCTCATGAGCTACTGATGCCCTCCAAATCAATCTCCTCTCTTCCTTATGGTTTGCCAATGCTGAGATAAGATGGGCCAAAATTTGACTCCAAGATCTTTTATTCTATCTCCAATTTCTTCTTCTTCAGTTGCAACATCATTTGCTCGTTCTCTAATATCAACCTCTCATTCTCCAACCTCGCCATCTCCAGATCACTTTCTTTCTTACTGCAAAATTGGTGCCACTTAAAACGCCTTTTCTCCAACTCAAAAGCTTCAGCTTGGATGCCTACTCTCTCCTCTTGCAGTTGCAACATCTGCTTCTTAATCCATTCTCTACATTCCCAGTGTGATTTTGTAGGGTCTTGATAAAAATCATCCATCTCAGCCTGAAAACCATCCAGCCCACGAGATTGGGACCAGAAATCGACATCCTCTTCATTTGCCTTCCTTGTCTCACTATAATCCTCAATTCTATCCACATCTCTACCAATATCATTATAATCTTCGTGTTTTGATTCATCGTCCTCACTTTCACTATTTTCTTCAGCTTCTTCCTCCTCAGAACCATCATTATCCTTTGAGCAATGTGCAAGAGGCAAGGAATGAACTTTGAGTTCAAGATCACTGCAATTGGGTATCCTTTGTCCATTATGATAAGCACACATTTCCTTGTAAAACAAATGTTTTGAGCTCAATATTTTTTTCACATCCTCCTTCATCTTAGACGAGAGTTGGGGCATGGAGTCCATGAGACCTGGATTCTCCACCACTCTACAAGAAATACCCCTACCAAGGATATCATTCAACTTCTTGTATCTTTTGTTCAAATCATTGAACTTATCCTCACACTGTTGTGGTGAAACACAACACCCTTTACCAATCATTATCTTCGAGACTGTTTTCCATTTACCCTTCTTTTGTAACATACCCGATTTTCTTTTCAGCGGCAACCCCTCTGCACCATCCAAAGTACCATCATCCCCGACACAAGCGACCACTTGCATAAGAATCCTAACTATATTGTCAGTCCATTTCATTCGCTGCCATGGAGATCCCTTTTTTCCCTTTGCACCATTGAAATTATCATCATTTCCATCATCCGTAAAACTAGGTTCATCGTCCTCACTGGTGTAATTACAAGTACTACTATTCACAATATTGACAAGTGCATTTGCCTTTCCTTTACCAACATTCACCGAAAATCCCTTTGGAATTGAGGCTTTGGCTTCCATAAGGCTGTTGGGGTGATCATTTTCCAGACCACTCATCATCTTCGTCGATGACTGCACGTGATGGTGAAGGGAAACAGATGGATGTCCCAACTGGGTCTGTTGATGCCCATGAATCGGCGATTCAAGGTCTAAAAACCCACCTCCCAGACCTAAATTATTCATTTATCAACACTAAATTTCCAAACCCTAGTAAAAATATTAAACACTGTTGTCTTTTCAGTCACTCCATGTAATTCGAATGCTTTATTTCCATGACTCAAGACACCCAATACTACGAATAGTGCATGAAATCCATAAACACTAATACTGGAAGACTGGATTTAGTCAATAAGAGAAACCCAAGAAATGAAATCAAAGAAACTACAAAGAAAATCCGAACTTCACCTCGTGGTCACAGTTTATGGATTCCAAAGTCTTATAGAATACTATTATTTCATTCTTTCACAGATATAACATAAGAGAGAATTTCACAGATGAATTAGTGGAAGAATAGCCAAAAAGTCTACAGTTACAGATACTAAGTAGAGTGAATCAAGCTTTAAGCTGACCTTTTATGGTCTGCAAGTGGGTTTCCGGAAGATTGACGGATACAGGGAGGTTTTGTGTGTGTGCGCGCGCGCGTGTGGAGAGAGAGAGAGAGAGCGAGAGAGTATGAGAGAGAGAAATTCTTGGGGGGCTTTTCTCGTGATTAGGAAGCTAATCCCACTAAACAGCCACCAAGTCAGTTGGCATAATTTTAAGCATTAAATTTTTTTAATAAAAAATGTTTAATTGCTATTTATAAAAAAAATTATATGCAATTTATTATATGATAAAAAATGTTAAAAATGAAAAAATCTAAAAAATGTTTTAAAAAATGTGTGAACTGTAGTTTATATTTTGCTATTTATTTTCTTATATCTTTTTTTTTTGTCTTCTGTCAAAAGTAAAAAAAAAAAAGGGATTACAATTATATGGAGTTCAATTTAAGATTAATTTTTTTGTTGAATAACATCAAAAATTCTATCAGTCTCTTTCAACCTAAACTGATGTAAAACATTCATGGATGAAGTTGTTAATGTCAGTAGAAGCCCATTGGATTTATACTAAGGAATCCTCATTAATTGTTTTCTTTATTGGTCTTGCCTTCATCATCAAAATTGAAGCATGATGAGTACTCTCTAAATTGATGACGAGTAGTACTAGTGAGAATTCCTTGATATTTAATCAAACAATCCTGACATTTATTGATATTATAAAAATGACTTGATAACACCTTAACAGTTACAACTTACAACAGAAGTATCTCTTATATATAACGAACATTAAAACCCCTAACAAAAAAAATGATGCTATCAGCCTAATGATCCACTATCATAAAATTACCCTCGAAAAGCCAAAAATAAAAGCAATGTTTTCCCCATTAATCATAATATTAACTATAATTTAAAACTATTCAATTATATTACAATAATTATAGTTTAGGTGATAATTTACCAATTACACAAATTGTTATTTTAAGAATATTAAGGACAATTTGAATATTAGTTACACAATAATTTGATATATAAAAATGGATTTAATGTTATATCAAAACTTTAAAATATATTCACCATTTTTGCACCACCTCCACCAACCATTGCCACCACACTACCATGGTCACTAGTATATCTCCCCTCCCACACACCTCTCTCTCTTTGACCCCCCACAACTCTAGCACACATATACAAACACCTCCACTATCACAGCACCACCTCAAAAAATCACAGCCACTACATAACCCTAAATCGCAACACCGCACTCCCATCATGCATCCTCCTTTTCCTCTGGTACACGCGACACATCCCAAAAAGAGAGAAGGGGGGTGGGGTGGGGGGGGGGGAGATTAGAGAGATAATTGGTGGCTTCAAATTCCTTTGATATTGCGTTTTAGTTTACTCATACTTCCTTAGAGTTAGGGCTGGCCCGAGAGATATCGGGACCATAGGCAAAAATTTTACTTAGGGCCCTTAATATATAGTATAATTTTAAGTTTATTTAAAATCATTATTTTCCAACAAGTAAAATTTATTGAATTTTAGTTTACAAATATTGTAATCATCTTCTATATGTAACACATATAATTGAAAAACGATTCAGCTCTCCTTTTCAAGATTAAATTAATCATCTTTTTTTTTATTTTACTTTTTCTATAGCCACATTCGTATTTTTTATTTTTGCGTATTTAATATTAAATGCATAACATATAAATCTACTATGGGTAACTCATGCTTAAAGCTATGATACAACTCAAAAAATTAGAACTCGTGAATATAATCGAAAAAGAACAATAAAAACCGTATACTTGATTGGTGATTCTTAATTTAGTTGGTGAGTCATAAATTAAAAGAGAACATGCATAAATCCAAAATCTATGTGCGAGTAGAAATTGTTGTATTTAATATATATTTCAAAATATAATATATATTTATTAAAAAAAATATTTTATTTAAAATTATTTTTAGACCTATTGAATGATCTGAACAGTACATGTTATGACCATTTGCTTTATTATTCATATTGCATTAATTTATTATATTATATGAGAAATAAATTTTCAGAGATTGTGACCATTGGTTATTAACCATTAGAGTTTGCATTGACCATTGGATGCCAATCATTACATAAGAAACAAGCATACTGTTTAAAGACATTATTTTCTCAAAATTTTAACAACAATTTTAAGAATAAATTTTCGTCCCTCTGAGTATAAAATCCGGTGCAACAGGTTATGACGTCCTATCCTTCAGGATTCAACTATTGTTTTTCCACAAACGTGCACTCGCAAGTATAGAGGTGTCTCTAACAACTCTTGATCATTCTCAAATGAATACCAAAATCTCCAGAAGTAGTATATTTGAAAGTATATCAAATTTGGTTCTAGCAATTTGATAAACAACTTAAGGAAATCCACTGTGTATGAAAACCCACTACACAAGAAAATCCACTAGATAACAAAATGAACGGGTTAAAATTTTGATAACCCCAAATAGTTTGACGTTGTCTCAAGAACACTATGTAGATAAGATACTTAAAAAGTTTAATCATTTTGATTATAAGCCTATTTCTACACCTTATGATGCTAGCGTTAAACTAAAGAAAAATAGAGGTGATCCTATGTGTCAAAATGATTATGCACAAATAATTTGAAGTTTAATGTATCTTATGAATTGTACATGTCCTGATATTGCATATGTTATTGGTAGGTTAAGTAGATACACACATAACCCCAATAAAGAACATTGGAATGCTATATCTAAATTATTGAAATACTTGAAAGGTACTGTTAATTATGGTTTATCATATAGTGGATTTCCTGTTATATTAGAAGGGTATAGCGATGCTAACTAGATATCGAATTCAGACGAGACGAAATTCACAAGTGGTTATGTATTCACCCTTGGTGGGGGTGCAGTGTCTGAGAAATCTTCCAAGCAGACGTGTACAACTCGGTCTACTATGAAGTCCGAGTTTATTGCCTTAGAGAAGGCTAGCACCAAGGCTGAGTGGAGAAACCTCTTAGCAGATATCCCTATATGGATGAGACCAGTTTCATCTGTGTCTATGCATTGTGATTGCCAAGCTGCAATAGCAAGGACAAAGAATAAAACATATAATGGTAAAAAAATAGGCATATACGCTTAAAGCATAGTATTGTGAGGCAGCTCCTTAATGATGGGATAATATCCCTAGACTTTGTGAGGTCATAGATGAATTTGGTCAATCCTCTGACAAAGCCACTAGGAAGAAAACTAGTGAGTGAGACATCGAGGGGGATGAGACTTATGCTTATACAAAATCGCAAATGATGGTAACCCAACTTACATGAATGGAGATCCCAGTAAGTAAGTTCATAAGGGTAATAACAAATCATTTGGTGATTTGTAACACTATCATAATTTAATTAATATTTAAAGTCCATCCTTATGGTGTACATAGTAAATATACTGAAATGTATAAGGTCGAGTTTATCTCTTAATTGATCCATAGCCTAGATTAGATAGTGTATGTAGTTGTAGTATACACTTGATGGATTCACCTATATAGATGTGGGAGTGGGGCCGCTTCCTATGAGAGCTTGGGCAAGTTCTCTAGAGCATCTATGAATTTTCAAGTAGGGTGCATGGCCTATTCGCACCAACCAGCGATAAACAAACTCAGATTAGAGAGTCTAATGTGGGTAATAAGTGTAGTCAGTTTATACTAAAGAAATCTAGTTTATAGAAATTTTATATTTCACTAGATTTTTGTATACTTTGTCTCATTTTTCCTAAGTGATGGTTCATAGTCCAAAAGACACCACCACAATGCATTAGATGCTCGTGTTCCCAAATCAAAGTTGTTGTTTTATATATACGTTATATTTTAAAATATGTGGGGGATTGTTGTATTTAATATATATTTCAAAATATAATATATATTTATTAAAAAAATATATTTTATTTAAAATTATTTTTTTGACCTATCGGATAACTTGAACAACACACATTATGACCATTTGATTTATTATTCATATTGCATTAATTTATGAAAAATAAATTTTCAGAGATTTTGATTGTTGGTTATTAACCGTTGGAGTTTGCATTGACCATTGGATGCCAACCATTACATCCTTCTGTTCTACAACTTTTCAACACAATATAAAGCCTACTTCTCAAACACTATAAAGATACTACTAATCATAAGAAAGGAGGTGTACGAAAGAAAAAAAAATGTAAAGCAAAGCGAAAAATAAGAAACAAGCCTACTGTTCAAAGACATTATTTTCTCAAAATTTTAACAATAGAAATAATGAAAAATCTTCAATGTAGCCATTAGCTCATGAGTATATCTCCTAATCCCATAGCATTGGGTGTTTTGACACACCACTAATGATGGTACAACAATGTAAAAGGAAGGCAAACCATGCTCTTATGTTAAAGAAAATTCAATTCAATAAAAAATAAAACAAAACCAATGCAAACAAAAAACAATAAACACACAAAAATTATAAAAAAGAAATCATTTAATTCATGTAAGTAAGTTTTAAAGTAGCATAAAATCATTGATTTTGAACATGAAACAATCAAGCAATAAACATACACGCACATTAAGTTAAAAGCCTAAATTGTGTTCTTAATATACCCATGATCAACAAAGCTATATAAAGATTCATGGGAATATAAATTTCAATGAAGATTCGAAGTATACCTAACTTTAATGATCAAAGTTCAAGCTACTCTATACTCAATATAAGAATTGAAATTCCCTCGCCCAACTTAACGTCTTGACTGTGGTGAAATAAAGAGGGTCGGAATGATTTCTTTTCATTTGTTATAAGAAATGTAATTAGAAAGAATGTTTACGCCTAAATGCTAAATAAAAATATTTAGACAGAGTTTTCCCTAAAAATAGAAATACTAATTACATAATTCACTCTCTAAAAAACGTTAATTAAACAAATAAATAGTGAAACGTGGATGAACAACTAAACACAACAATTGCACCATATTAATTCTTGAAAAAGTGAGAGAACAAACATAAGATTGTCTGATACAATTGTTTTCTTAAAAAAATTAGAGTAAAGCCATAAAAATTTTCAATCCCAGACAACTTTAATCATACAATAAAATGACATAAACAATTTCTAAATCAATATCTACCTCAATAAATCAACAAA